TTTGTGAATTCTCAGCAGACTTGGCCTTGCATGGCCACCTACAGCACTCAGTCGTGCTTCAGCTAATATAGTCAGTTATATGTTTTGTTGTTGTCTCAAATGTGCTGTCCTGGGACTGCCATATCAACAGAGATGTGAAATCCAGTCCCTTCATTCCTGTTAAAAAAAATGTCAAATAAAAACAAAACAGAAAGCACAGATTATGTGGACTTTGTGAGTGTAGAAGAAAACCGTGGGAAAGGAGAGACTTGCACTTTAGACATGTAAGCAATATAAAAATTTCAAAATGAACACTCCTATCTTAATGTTGTTTGGCCATTTCTGTAAAGCAGGGCTTCAAGATTCCTTCATATGGCTAAACTCTGGCCTCCCGTGCTTTACTTTTTCATTCTTGATTGCATCTCTTTCAGAAACATGGGGGGAAATTCCAATACCCTTAAAATAACCTAGTCAATATTAGATGACATCCTTATGGTTCAGAATAGTTGATAATCCCTGTTGCCATTTCCCCTAATGCACCCACTTTTTAAAAAGGCCCTGTGAGAAGAAGTTCCAAGTAGAAATCAACACTGTGATCACAGCATCTGCCTCTTAGATTTTTGTTTTTGTCATGGGTTCCCATTTGAACCCACTGTCCATAATACCTCAGTATAGAAGGTCTGTCTGTACCAAGAGATATCCTTAGTTTGAAGTCTAAAAGCTTATATCTGAACATCTTCCCTCATCTTCTCACACTAAATTTTATATGAGATGCACAGCCTATATTTTAGGATAGATAATTTCAAATTTATTCTTCCAATTTAATGAAAGTCCATGAATTATTTTTAGAGAATGTATATACAACTGGAAACTTTTTTGTATGTTCGCATATGTATACATATTTAGTAATCAATGGACATGTGATAAACACTATTATTTAAACAATGCATACTTGTATCATTTTCATATTCCCATTTTGTTTGTACTAACTTATTTATCTGGCATTATAAGGAAGTGAGGTACGTTATACATGTTATTGTCAAATAACTAATGCTCTCCTTTTCATAATAACTGACAAGTTTTATCACATGTCTGAATTAAGTAAACTTTTATTAAATGTTTTTATTAAGTGTTTATATGTGTGTCTTTAAATTCAATGTACAATGTGTTTAATTTTTTTAAAAATTCACTTTATTGAGGTATGATTGGCACACAAAGAGATCTACATATTTATTGTACACAACCTCATTAGTTTGGGAAATGCAAATATAAATCAAAGTCAATAAAAATAACACCTCACACCTGTTATGATAGCTATTATTGAAAATACAAGAGATAATAAGTTTTGGTGAGAGTGTAGGAAAAAGGAAATGGGAGAAATGTAAATTGGTACATTCATTATGGAAAACTTTATGTAAATTTCTTTAAAAAATTAAAAGTAGAACTACCATATGATCTAGCAATTCCACTTCTGGGCTCTATCTAAAGAAACTGAAACTGAAATCAGGATCTTGAAAAGATTTCTGCACACCCATGTTCATTTCATCATTATTTATGATAACCAAGAAATGGAAGGAAACTAAATATCTTGATAGATGAAAAGATAAAGAAAATGTGGTATATACAAAACAAAGAAATGTCATTCAACCTTACAAAAGAAGAAAAGCCTATCCTTGGCGGGTGGAGGACAAAGAACCTGGAGGACATCATGCTGAGTAAGGTAAGACAGATGCAGAAGGACAGATATTACCTGATACCACTTAGGAAAAGTTAATTTTGGCTCCTGGTTTCAGAGACCTAGACCATGGTTGGCTAACTCCATCACTTTGGGCCTGAGGTGAGGCAGATTATGGCTAAAGGGCAATGGCAGAGGAGTGCTGTTCACTTACTGGCAGCCAGGAAGCAAAATGAGAAAGGGGAAGGGGCCATAGGGAGGATGCAGCCTTCCAGTATACACCCCCATGACTCAACTCCTCCAGCTGTGCCCCACCTGCCTACAGTTACCATCTAGTTAGTCCATTCAAACTAGGATGAATTGATTAGGTTATAGCCCTCACAACCCAATAATTTGACCTTTTAACATTCCTACATTAACACAGGAGCTACATTAACATTCCTACATTAACACATATCGAAAGCATAACACCACTTACATGAGAAATCTAAAATAGTTAAAATCATAGATATGGAGAGTGGAATATTGGTTACAGGGCATAGTGGAGGAGGAAACAGGGAGGTATTTGCCAAAGGGCACAAACATTTAGTTATACAAAGTCACTAAATCCTAGAGATCTACAGCATGGTGTATATAGTTAGCAATATTTAATTAACCATGTATGTAAAACGTATTTCTTACTCTGGGTCATAGTAAAAAATGTTTGAAAGCTATTAACATAGAGGTCAAACTGTTCTGGGACAGCATATGAGTGGGATCATCTTATTACTGAATCTGATCCTTACTCTGGCAGGTAAGAAATGGAATTTTCTTTACACAGTGATCCCCAACTTGCATTCTGATTGTTTCCTGAATAAAAATCCAGGATAGGTTCAAGCTGAGAGCAGCATCAATCTAATCAATATGATATCTCTGGGGAAGTCATAAGAGAGCTTTTGAATTGGACCACCTGGTTTAAATTCTTGCCCCACCATTAACTAATCATGTGACTTGAAAAGAAAACACTTGACCTCTCCAGGTCTTGGATTCCTCACCTGAAAAGTAGAGATAACAATAATCCTACTTTCCAAGGGTCATTGTAAGAGAAATATAAAATCATTTATTAAATCTTTAATATATGGCCTGTACAAAGTAAGCCATATCACCATAATTACCTTCCACCATGATACCTATAAATAATATGAATGTTGGATGTTTACTATTTGTGTGTGTTTAATTTATTAAAAAGTTACAAAAGTATATATTTATATATATAGACCTAAGAGGAGAGAGAGGGAGAAGGGGAGAGGGAGATTGTTTGCTGAAGGTCCTGTACATTCTGTAGTGATTATTTCTCTGGAATGAGCAGAGACTATAGACTATGAGCAGAGGCTATAAGCAATAGCACAATGGGGGAAATAGGTGACTAATTTATATTAATTAAGCTCACAAGAGGCAAAATTATAAAATGATACTTCAAGTACTCACATCAGATATTACTTTTTAGTGATCAAAATCCTTGTATCCCCTACATAGGACCTTCCTCTTCCATTATTAAGATGTCTAAATGAGATGTCTAAATCTTGTTGGAGACGTTGTATTCATAATCAACAAATTGATTAAGTACTACCATTTGAATATGTCTTCTCCAAAATTCATGTTGAAACTTAATTACTATTATGGTGGTATTATGAGGTGAGGCATTTTAGGTAGTGATTAAGTCATGAGGACTCCATCTTCATGAGTGGATTAATGCCTTATAAAAGAATGGAGGGAACTACTTTAGGCTCTCCTTTTTTGCCCTTTGGTCCCTTTGACCATGTGATGACACAGTGTTCAAGACATCAAAGCTGCTGGTGCTTCAAGAGTGGATTTAGCTTCTCAATTTCAAGAAATGAAAAAATATATAATTTTAAATTATATTTAAAATTACAAATTTCAAATTATCCAATCTGCAGTATTTTGCTATTGCAACACAAATGGACTAAGACAAGAAGCAAGAATATTTCTAGCTATATAACAGGTTGCCCATAGCCATATAATTAATATCCCTGACCAAATATATCTTTTGCTCTCCTTAAATCTGCTTTTCTCTAGTTCCTGTTCCTCCTGTCTCATTTAATATTTCTATCTACCCATGAAGTTTTTCCACACCCTTACTGCCTGTATTCTAATGGTTGCAAAAAGGACTTTGAATACTAACTCAGAAATACAAGAATGTCTCTCATTAGAAGTCTCAACTAAAATGTTAACAGAGTTATATTCTAGCTATTGGAGAGGAAAGTGTTTTTGTATACTGAGATGCTCTTATCTGTGCAATATTTTTGCATTTTCAAATTTTTCATTACCTGTATTTGTTTATTAACTTCAAAATTATTAATAATATATTTATAATGCTAACAAATATTCAATTAGAACTTAGTACATAATAGGCACTATGCTAAGTTTTTTCATTATCATTAACTCAATTATTCTTCAAAACAACCAAATAAAATTAGGAGTATTTTTATCTCTGGGTTATTCATGCAGAAACTGAGTTTTGAAGAGGCAATCTAACTTACTAATGGTCACTTAAAAATTTTTTAAAGAGCTTGGAACATAGTTTATATTTTCTCTCTCTTTCTATCTGTAGCAGATGCCTTGAAGAATATTTGGGCAGCTTCTAGGACCTCTTTTTGTTGTCATTGTGCCCCATCATTCGCCTGTCTTCCTAAAGCTACAGGCTCGTACTCAACCTTCTTTATCCATGCCACCTGCTATGGTTTGGATAGGGTTTGTCCCTCAAAGATTCATGTACTAGAAGCTTGGTCCTCAACTTAACAGTATTGAAGATGGGAAGACCTTTAAGAGGTGGTGTCTAGTAGAAGGTGATCAAGTCATGATCATGTTTGTGAAGGGATTAATGCTGGTCTCATTAGGTCTCACAGGATGGATTAGTTCTCATGAGAGTACATTGTTATGAAAGAGCAAGTCTGGCCCTGCATCGTTCTCTTGCTTTCTTTCTCACCATGTAATTTCTCTCTCTTTC